CAACATGGGACTATTGGCCAACATGGCTGAGGCTTCTGGGAGCTGAAGTCCCTCGGCCCTTAAAGGGGAAAGGTTGCCTACCCCTGATTTAAACCAATTCATCTATTCAGTGATCCCACTTATTTTAGACTAACTTTGTAGCACTGGTTTCCAAAACAGCCTCATTTAGAAATCTTGCTTCTACTTCTTTCCAGCTCACTAGAAGCTTCTTGACATTGCCCTCACACTTTTAAGCTTCAAAAACATACAGGAAGAACCACAAAATAGGACTGTTCATGATGCCAAATTATTGTTTTGGACACTATCTCTAGGAATTCCCAAGCCAGTGGACACCGTAGTTCAAAATAAGGTAACCTTTCCAAGTTCTGATCTTGACCCAACGGAACAACAGTTGTTCACTATCATGGCAAGCAGCTTCAGGATTTAGTGTGTATGCATGCAAATACACACTATTTTATTTAAGGCAAGGTGGAAGAGGTGGGATATGCATACAGTCCCATCACACCTCCACTGAATTTTCCAGGTATTGTATACCCACCAAAACTCTCTAGGTCAGTTTCTCCTCTGCCCATTTCGTTCAGCCTCACAACCCTTCTTTCAAGCCAACCCTGCAAATGCTTCTTGGTGGCAGACTGCACCTTTGCGTTCCCTAAACCTTTCCCTCCAAATGCCATACTCAGGTTTCTGGAGCCACAGTCCTCCCAAGCACAACATCTGTTGCTCAATGTTTGTTCGTGTTTATCTACACAAGCCAAATGTGAAATGACCCTGATGCACTATGGTGCAATTGAAGGAAGAGTGGGGCCATCAGAATCAAAACATTCCCCGTTGCAAAAATATGGGGCCATGCACAAACACATGGGCCAAGATCCTGCATCGGCAGATGTAGCTATGAAGATGGAGGTCCACTGTCCCCATAATGTCAGAATACGGCATCCCCTCGACACCCATCTTTTCAGCCTATCATGGGGTTTTCTTGGCAAGTTTCTTCAGAGGGGGCTTGCCATTGCCATCTATGGAGAGAGTGAGAGTTGCCCAAGGTTTACAGATTTACAAGGCTGAGCTGGGCTTTGAACCCTGGTCTCCATACTCCTAGTCCAGGGGTAGGCAACTTTTCCCCTTTAAGGGACGAGGGACTTCAGCTCCCAGAATCCCAGGAGCTATTGGCCAACATGGGACTATTGGCCAATATGGCTGAGGCTTCTGGGAGATGAAGTCCCTCGGCCCTTCAAGGGGAATGGTTGCCTACCCCTGCGCTACGCCTTGCTGGTACCTCTCCACTATTTTGCAAGACCTCATTAAACTGGCTCTCTTTGCAGTGCCTCAAAAACCCTTTGGTTGGGGCTCTGCCCAGCTGAAAAGATGGTTTTTGGGGAGCCATGTTCAATAATTAACAACTGTTTAAGTCCTCAAAAGAACTTGCCACTCGTGTGTGTATGGCTTGGCTTGTTGTCACCTTGGTTCAAAAGATAACATAAAGGCAACTGCAAATAATAAGTTATAAACAAATAATTATCCATATAATAAATGGATGTGATTTCCTCACCAGCAGATTCAGGGTGTATCCACACTATATTCCTTATAGCACTTTGATACCACTCTAACGGCCGTGGCTCCATCCTCCAGAATCCTGGGATTTGCAGTTTTGTGAGGTTTTGTTTTGTTCTTTTAAAGACTTTTCTGCCCAACAGTTCTAGTCCTGTTGGTCCAAAACACACTGGAGAAACAATCCAGTTTGAGACCTCTTTAACTGCCCTGGCTCTGTGCTAGGGAATTCTGGGAATTGTAGTTTTGTGAGGCATTTAGCCTTCTCTGTCAGAGAGCTCTAGTGCTACAATTGTACAAACTACAATTCCCAAGATTCCCTAGCACAGAGCCAGGACAGTTAAAGCAGTCTCAAACTGGATTGTTTCTGCAATGTGATTTGGACCGTTGTTAATGGTTTCAATGTGCCTCCCCAAGCCGCAAATCCTAGAAATCCATAGGAAGGGGGCATGACATTTAAAGTGGTATCAAAATACTATTGTTTTGCAGTGTGGATACGTATCCTTGTGGTTTTATAAAATGGAAATAAACCAGGATGGGTTACATTTTTTTCCCTGCAGCCACCAGGTCCAATTCTAGGTCCCTAAGAAGAGGAAGGAAATAAATAAATATTATTGTTATTAGGTATCTGGTAGGAAACTAATAACAGACTCACTTTTTGAATGCAATTTATTTGCAACACATAAAACCATACCAGTTTTGTAGGTTTGCAACCTATAAAACCACAACACACACATTTGTGGTTTTCCTTATACGGTACCCTTCTCAGAATCTAACATTTATTTAATGCACTTTTAAGATCACCTGATAAGTAGAATTTCTATTTATTGCACTTTTAAGATCACTTGATAAGCAGGATTCTCTGGCTATTATTTGTATAGATGTATCTGCAAGGAATGACTGAAAATAATAAAACCAAGATGAACCCGTCGGCAAGGGGAATTAAAACTAAAGTGTACTGAATCCGAAATTAAAACCCAGTGCCAAGTTTTAAGAAACAGTAGATCATAACCAGAAAATTAACAGCAGAGCAAGTTTTCTTTAAGATGGGAATAAATAAGAGGAACTCACACACATCCTCTAAGAGTAAATATATATATTTACTCTGGTTTTTTTTTCTCATTTAACTGTTACTAGGATTTTAACTATGCTGTTGTTTAATACTGTTTTAAGGGGGGAGGGATATGTTTTTATTGTAATTGTTTTATGTTGTAAACCGCCCGGATTGGGCAACCATTGGGCGGTATATAAATAAATAAATTATTATTATTATTATTATTATTATTATTATTATTATTATTATTATTATTATTAAGCTAAGGAGTAAGCACTGCTAGTTACTAAAACAGGATGAAGTAAATAAACATACCTAAAATTAAGATTAAAATTAAAATTAAAATTAAGACCTTCTACCCTGCTTTTTATTTTTTATACTGAGCAAAAGTGAGGCTTATATCCCAGTTAACTTGCTTTGGGAAGTGAATAAATGTTACCTTTGACAGAGTATTTAATTCCTAGTAAGCCAATAGCGGTTTGTGTTGGACTACTACGACTCTGGACAAGAGGCTACTCTCAG